GAGTGTACCAGGTGAAGGGGAAGTGAAGAGGAAAGTGAGTATGGGGCACCCATTTCTATTGTTCCACAGACAGATATTGAAGAACGACAGAGCTATGAAAAAATCTTGCAAGATGAAAGTTCGAGCAAGTGAGAGATGACAAAACTTCCACTAGGGAAGAAGATATTGCACAACAAGTGAGTGTACCAGGTGAAGGCTGAGCGTGATGTCAGTAAGAGGTACAAGGCTAGACTTGTTGAAAAAGACTTTCAGCAGAGACATGATGTTGCCCATGTAGTGGGAGTTGTAAGAAGAGACAAGAGTGACCTAGGAAATAGCTTGGAAGTGCAAAGCTCTGTGGAGTCTGCTAATATGTTAATTGAAGGTGTTACTCTTGAGAAACTGAAGTTGTGCACAACTTCAGTTGGTCTTCTGGAGTGAAGACAGAGACTTTGAGTTGTAGAAGTGGAGGATTCAAGGTGGAGGATATATGTTGAAAAAAAAAGGCGACACCGCGCAGTGGAGGATATCAGTTTGAGGAAGGACATGTTGCAGCTTGTGTATCGGTCTCCAAGTGGGAGAAATTGTGAGAACCGGTGGAGCCCGGTCCACTATGCTTGGGTGGTTACTTTATTTTGGAGAGACACACCTCTTCACAAATAACTACTCGTATTCCTCTTTTGTGAAGTGAAACATTTCTTCGCTCACTCATGTTCGTGATAAAAGCTTCAGATGACTTTCATTGGGTTTTGTAGTCACGCTTTGAGTTCTTCTTCGGTTTCCTCGGGATAGAGGAAGGTTTCCTTCGGGCAAAGGAAGAGAAGTGCAAGGAGGAGCAGTTCCTTACGGCAGAAGGAAGAAAAAGAAGATTGTTCTCCCTAGGCTTTTTCTTGGTGGCTTGTGGCAGAAGAGAAATTTAGTTTATTTCTCTTGTAAGTTTGTCTTTCTCGGTGTAGAGTTTTCTTCGGTTTTCTTCGGTGTATCTCGGTACAGAGAGAGAAGAACAGAGAGAAGAAATGAGAGAGCAACGAAGTGTGAGAGATTATTCTTATAAGTCGAGGTGATCGATTGGTGTAAATTCCTCAAGTAGTAAAATCTAGTAAAATCCTCTGCAACTCCGGGCAACTCCGGGGACGTAGGCATTTGCCGAACCACGTAAATCTGTGTATTCTGATGTAGTGTTATTCTTTTATGGTGTAAATTTTTCTCGTTCTATTTTTCGCTTCGTCGATCGTTCTCCTGTTTGATTTATATATATACAAATTGGTGTATATCTAAATCTCGCAACAACACCAGACAAAGTCGCTACAGGCAGAAAAGGAAGGTTCGACGTTAGCCTGGAGCGGAGGCGAAAATTGGAAGCTCTGATTTTATTCCTTTGTTGAAAGCAGAAGAAAAATAGAAGGAAATCAAGTTCTGATTTTATTCCTTTACGGGAAGTGTAGACGAAAATTGGAAGGAAGTTTCGATTTTATTCCTTTGCTGCAGAGAAAAAATTTGGAAGAGATATTTTTCATATTTCTTTAGAGGTAATAAATAAAAAAAAATTCCTCATATTAACCAGGAAAATCTTGCTGCATGCGAAAATTTTTCAGGACACAGGAAAGACAAGAAAAGGGAACCTGCTGCTGCACTAGGGAAATGAAAGATTTCTTTGTGGAAGGAAAGCAGAGGCGAAATCTTTCTGGAAGGTTAGCGAAAATGGAGCTTTTCTAAGAAGAAAAACAGAGTTTTTTTTTTTTTAAGAAAAATGAGACGTTTGGGGCCACTTTTTTATGACTTCGCAGCAGAGAATCGCGAAATTCGATCGTTTGGCTCGCAGCGTCGCGATAGAACGAAGCTGAAGCAGAAGAAAAGCGGGCCGCGATATCCATCCCGCGGCCCCAGCTTTTCGCCATCTTAAGAGAAAAGGATTTCTAGAATGTTTAATTAAGAAAAAATTAATTAAGGCAAAGTTCTCTTTCTTAGAAACTTAATTAAGGGAAAGTCTTTTTTCTTGGAAACTTAATTAAGAGGAACTTAATTAAGGAATTTTAATTAAGAGATTATTTAAAATGGTTGTCCAACCCACATTGATACATAAGAAACTCCATGATGTATTTTTTCTTAAGAGGTTAAATATTCGCCATGACGGAGATTTATCAGGCATATGTCTTTCTTCTAAAGAGCTGGATATTCGTCAAATTGGAGATTTGTTAGACATATGTATTTCTCTTAAGGGGCTGGATATTTACCAAGGTGGAGATTTGTTATGCATATGTATTTCTCCTAAGGGGTTGTATATTCACAAAGATGGAGATTTGTTAGGTATGACTCATATTACCAGAATTTAGAGTCTCTTGGAATAATGAGATGTCTCTTGGAATTAAAGAGTCGTGTCTCTTGGAATTTAGTGGGTTTGGGGGATCAGCGAGAGCGCAGCGGAAGCGTGGTGACCCAACTCACATTGATGCATAAGAAACTCCATGACATATTTTCTCCTAAAGGGATGAATATTCGACAAGGTGAATATTTGTCAGACATATATATTTCTCCTAAGGAGCTGGATATTCATGAAGGTGGAGGTTTGTTAGGTATGACTCATATACCATAAATGAGACAGATGCTGGAGCGGAAGGATTTGTCCAATCGGGGGAGTTTAATTATGTGGGTTGGGGGTGCCGGGGGAGCACCCTAGTACAGGGGTAATTTAAGTAATTACATAGTGTACTATAGGGTTTTATATATATATATCATGTTTGTAACCTTAGGTGAGTCGCTGACTCTCTGAGACTCCGAGAACTGAATCCTTGAATTCTATAACCCTTTTCTGAATATTGAAAGGAATCGCCGCTCTGCTCCCGAGGACGTAGGCATCTTTGTCGAACCTCATTAAATTTCTTTGCGTTCTTCTGGATTTGTGTCGATTATTATTTTTCATCGCCCTAATTACTCAACAAATATATTTTGAAAATATATTATTTATAAAAAAAATAATTGAGCGTAAGATCTAGAAAATAACTTCTAATTATTAACAAACAAAATTCCATAAATTACTTAAAAAATTTCCCATATATATACATCTTCAATCATCAAAAAAAAAACTTAAGCAACAAAAAAAAAAAAAAAAAACTATACACGGTTATTTACTGTATTTTTACACATTTAAATTATTTAAAAATATTTTTAACTAAATTTATATTTTCAACATATTAAATGCATCTAATTTAAAACTAAAATATACATAAAAATAGAATAAAATAAAGTATCCAAACGAGCCCTTAGATCAGTTCCACGTGGCTTGATAAAATAAGACAATCGTTCATCAGACCAGATGTAAGGGGAATCAAATATGAGCTCATTAACTAAAGTGGCACATTTCCCGAGTGCAGATCTCACGCTCCCCTGTCCGCCTTCTAGCGGGCATGGCAGGTGAATTCCAGGTTTTTACATCAATGCCCCTGTTCGTTTAATAAATATTACACGGCAGGGATCAAAATTTTAAATATGATGGAGCGGTGACACAAATTTAAATTTTTTACATTTTAATAATTTAAAAACCTTAAATATAATAAATTTATCACTTCTGTTTCAATATAAATTAAAATTTTTGGGTGTTTAAAATATAAATTTTGAATTTAAGCGGTAAAAATATTATATTTAAAATTTTGAGGAATTGATATGTAAAAGCCCCTGCAAAATAACGATGGAAGAGATGATAGTCATATTTTATTCTAATTTGAGTCTCATGATTGAAGCTCATTGGCCTGAAAAAAATAAAATAAAATAATTCATTATATTTTCAAAATTAAAATAAAATAATAATTATGTCCAAATGTGGTGCATATTAAATAAAAATAAATTACAAAATTTTAAGACAGTTAATTAGAAAAGCTCATATTGCCCTGAAAATTGCTGTTTTTCATTTAATTGTTATTTTAAATTAAGTATTAATTCAATTAATAGAAAAGATTGAATATATGTAATTAAACATCTCTGCAATCATTTATTTAATCTATAGTTAGTCAATAGCAATTTACATTCGATCATCAAACCTTCTTATTTTCAAATTTAATTTTTAACAGAAGCTAAAAGTCGATCCTCTTCTAACTAAAAATTAATTGTCAATCCATATTTTAATGTGCAAGATTGTTGTATAAACATAATAATTAAATACAAACAATTGAAATCTTATGATAAGTATTCACCGTTCGATTTGCACATTATAAAAGCGGATGGTTGAAGGGTTGGATTGTCGGATCGATGCAGTTTAGGGCGGTTCAATGTGAGAAAGGTCTTTTAGACCAACTGGAATCAGACCTTCTACAGATTCACGATAAGAATGTATGATCATGATCATAAAAATCATACAAAAATATGAAGTTGATTAAAATTATTTCCGTTTGGGGCAGCTTGTTTGTTGCGATGGTATTTTGAAAATACACCTGAACTGTTTGGGTAAACTGTATTTTGACAGCTTAGACAGCTTATGCGTTTTGTATGCGTTTTGAAAATGCTGAAAACAACATTTTCACACCGCACTTATCTAGATGCGGCGGTAACTTTCTGGCAGCGATATGATTTTTTCAAAAAAATAAAAATTACTAATCATCATCGCACGTAACTTATCAACATATTATTTTTAATGAGCTTATTTAATAACTTAAGCCCCATTTAATTTTGTATATTTTTCCCTATTAGAAAATTGTAATAATTAATGTTTGTCTTAGAGGTGGATTCAGCGGGCTTAAAATCATATTTAAATGCCGACCACGCGGGCCCTCAATCTACCCGCCGGCGCGCTCCCCGCCGTCCGATTAGAGGCCCGCAAGTTCGAACTGCTAGTAGAGAACTGGCCTATCATATTCTACCACGTATTCACACTCATACTTTCAAAAGACCTGTTCATTGGACTTTTGAAAGTACCGCTTATTTCTGCTCACAGGAAAGTGGGTGCCATTCTGGGTGGATTGTATTTTTTTTTGTAAGCGAGTACTGGATGCGAAAGTTTTTGGCGGACTACTGTGAGAAATTTTAAAAGAAGGGATTCTCCATTTGCCCGCCGATTCCACTGACCAGCACTCAGCGGGCGTTTTCTCGGCTAGGGTTTGGGCTGAGGGTTATCATCACTCGCTCATTCCTCCGTGAAGGTCGGTCGGGGTACGCTTTGCAAAAACTAGGATTGTTTACTTCCTGCTGTTCCTTTTCTTCTTCATTAAACCAGGTTTTTAGTTGTTTGTTGTTGTTCTACGATTTTATATATTTTTCGATTGCAGGGTGTGCTTGTGCAAGGCGTGGATGGAAAGCGATTATCATGTGAGTTCAATCTACGATTTTTGGCTTCGTATGGTTTTCTTAATTCTTCATGCGAACGATGAGCATAGAACGATGAAAGTTGGTATTTTCTTTCTTTGATGTTGTTTGTTTGGGTTTTGTTTTGATTGTGGTGATATGTTGCTCTCTTTTGTGTTAATGAAGATGTAGTGGAAGGAATTTTGAAAGGACGGGTAATTCTGGGAAAATTGCTTCTCTAGGGTTTGGATACAGAACTGCTCGGTTACCTAGGTGTTAGTAGTTTTTTAACTTAGATTAGGACTTTGGTTATAGATTTATGATAGATGTGAGCATTTTCGCTGTACTTTTTATACTTAATACATCAACTTATTGCGGGCATTTCCTAGTTGCCTTCATCAATTTAATAGCTTCTGATGGTATTAGTTTTAAATTAAACATGGCATCAGTTGTAGTTTATCCTTGATGTGCTGAAATTTTTATGTTGTTCAAATGGTTAACCAATTGGACCTGTTCTTTAGGGTTTAGTAGATGTGTCTTCACCACTATTATTGTATTGAAAAAGAAGAATAAAACACTAACTTGTCATATAAACGTTATAAGTTGGTTATCCTCTGATCAGTGCGTGGTTGTTTAATGGTAGCACATCACATAATTTACTGCTTTACTGATTAAGGTCGTTTTTGGAACTTATAAATGTTTCAATTCAAGATTTTAGACTCTGGTTCCATGTGTTATGAATTAATTATTCTATAAAAGTTTTAGAAGATGGTGAAGGAAGGAAGGTTGGATATTTACTGTCATCGTTTCATGTGCTTTAAAATTAGTGGCCTTTTGACCATAAAGTTTTCCGTTTTCTTTTAGGAAATAACTGCCAACAAATTACTTTAAAATTTGCTTCTGAATTATACTTTCTAAATCCGAACATGAGTCATTTTCTCATCTTTGTAGTGATTTATTGTTGCAAAAAAAATTATAAAGTGAAACAATTGTAGGAAAGCTAACCTAAAACAATTGATTTGTGTTACTAGAAAACTTGTGATGATAAATAGATAACTTTATGTTTTAGTTTTGCACAAAGATCTCACATGAACAAAAAAAAGAAGGAAAAAAAAAATATAGGAGTCATTATAATTTTTTATGTGAAAAAAGCAAAATTCATTTGGCCTATCTTAGATAAAATAATATACTATTATATAGATTTTCTCTACTTTTAAATTGAAGATTGGACTATAAAGTATGCATCACAAACATGACTTTTTATGTGTAGTGCAAAATGATATGTAGCGAAGATGGAGACAATGGGCAGATAATGGTGATATTGATCAAGTGATGATGGTTTGGTGAGTAGTTGGGAAAAAATTTGATAGCCTTTTGACTAGAACAAATAAGTTAGCTGTTAAATGAGGGAGGATAACTTTTAGTGATTGGGCAATGGTGGTATGGATATGACTGTTAAGCAACAATGGTTAGACAATATTAGTTGCTAGTTGTGATTGCTGGTGTTGAGTGTTAGATTGAGCTCAAGAATTCTTTAAGAGTTTGTTTGAGATAGGTTTTCCCTTTTTTGTTTTCCAAACTACCGTCGCTTAATCATTTGGCAATTGCTCGCTTGTTGGTTTTTTGAATTTTTTTTTGTTGGGAAGCTACTCTTGAGAACCAAATTTATTAAAGTGTGATAGCTGTAAAATATTGTCATCCAACTTTTAAAAAAAGAAAATATCTGTAATACTCACTATAATTTAAAAAAATGTTAAATTTTTTCAAATGTTTCAATCACTTTTATAAAAAGTTTCAACCACATTATACAGATCATAGATCTCTAAATATCTCTAAATTCATATCAAAGTTTGATTAATATGGAGAGTGAGGGTTATTCATAATTTTTTGAGAGATATTTTGATATTTTTATCTTAAATCTTACAACAGTTTATCAGATGACACGCTAATTCTTAGATTATAGAGGATTTTATAGCATTATAGCATTTAAGTGGTTTAATTAAATTAAATTTGAGAGATTTTAGGCTTGTTGAATTTCTCTTTTCGAGATATTTGTTTTGATAGTAATAATCGTACAAAAACTAGAGATCGTTTGTCCTTCAATTGACGTCATAATTTTTTAGCAAAATTTTAGCAAAAAATTTAAGTGCTTGATTTGTGCCCTTTTATTATCGATTCCAATAACTTTGTGTCTTGTTGAGTTCACTACATTGAGATATTTATTTCAAGTACATGTTTATTGAAATTGATGTTCACATATTCCTTAATTTAATTTTAGAAATCTTAGTCTAGATAGTGTATCAAGATTCATACTTGATTGGATAACTTTTTTGAAGACATACGTGTGTTTTTGTTTAATTAATTATATA